GTTCCCTCTCCTTCCAGTCGATTAACTTAAAGTACCTCTCCGAGTAACTAGGAGTGGAAGTCTCTCTAACCGGGCCGAGGATTGAAAATCGTTTATGGCGCTCGCTTGAGGCTTCTCGGTACGGAGGGACTTAGTAAAAGACTCGCGATACCCTCTACAGCCTGGCCCGCAGCAGTCCTTTGACCAATCCCAGGTCCAATAGAAGGAAGCCCTACAGCCAATCCAGCAGCAATAACGGAAGCAGCAGAAATAAGTAGATTCATGATAAGTCCCTCTTACCAACAAAAATAAATTTTTAATGATACAATCAGCCAATGAATTAGTATTCCATCGATAAGACAGATGTGTCAATTGGGAAAATACGACCATAATGACTAGGATGGATATCTCGTATTCGAAAACTAGTAGAGTACCATTCCAGGAGAAATTCCTCCTTTATCAGTAGAGGTTGAAGATGAGTTATCTTCAGACTTTACCCAAGAGAATGACATGATGGAAGAAGCCCTGAAAGGAGGAGAGATGGGGTTCAGACTAATAATGTCTATCTATTAGCCAAAGGTTACCGGCAAGTCTATCAATATAAATTCTCTCTGGAAGGCTTAGGCCTATTATCTTAGACGGAATTAGTGGTATGGCTTTGAAGCTGGTCTTTTGACTTATGTCATTAGCAAGGCGTAAGCTAGTCTGCTGCTCGCTTCGTAAAGCTCCGCCAAAATATAAAATAAAACAAAAGACACAAAAACACACGGAAAATAATAAAATTGACCGGTCGACACTAAAACGAACCTAAAACCGACTCAATAACACAAATAAACACATAAAAATAAACTCAAAAACATAACAAACAACTACCTAAAATAAAATTCTAGTATGGCGGTGACATTACAATCACCTAACTAATTATATATCAAAGGGTATATTGCAGTTTTGATACTCGAACTAAAGTTCATTTCAGAATCAGTACCCATTTTTTAAAATTTGCAAAATCAGTACCCAAACTTAATTTCATTCTGTTAGCAACGTTAGTACCCGACCGTTAGATCTCTATTAAACTTCCGTTAGTTGTTAACGGAAGTAGGCAAAATGGAGGAAATTTTTCTATTTTTTTGGCTCATGCTGAAATCTATATACGTAGACATTTTTACCATTTTTTTCAAAGAAAAAAATGCAGCCTCCACTATTTATAAGAAAAAAATTTGGATAAAATCGATTTTTTTTTTAAAAAAAAAATATATAATAAATCGAGAAAATTGAGAAGACATGGTTTCTCTTCTAGTTCAAGCAGTATATCTTGAAATAATAATTTTTCAATAACAAAAATATATATTTCCTTCTATTTTGCCTACTTTCGTTAACAACTAAGGGAAATTTAACGGAGATCTAACGGTCGGGTACTAACGTTGCTAACAGAATGAAAGTTTGGGTACTGATTTTGCAAATGTTAAAAAAACGGGTACTGATTCCGAAATGAACTTCGTATCAAAACTACAATTTACCCTATATTAAATATACTAGATATTTTAGGAAACTTCTTATTGGTAGGTGTTATTTTAATTAACAGTATTATTCAGCTAAGACCTTATCTTTGCATATTTGTGTTATTTTATCTATAAAATTCTCTATCAGTTGTAGAATTTCCCAAAGACAAAATTGAAAATGAAAATAATTATGCGACTATTAATTCGCCTAGTGGTTGTAGGCTTTCATATGTGCATGTCTTTCAGAATCTGTCACATAAATACTTGAATTTTTGGAAATTTTAGAATTTGAACAGTCTTATAGCATTTATGCTGCATGGCTTTGATTTTTTTTAAGTAAATGATCTTGAGGGAATTTGAAATCTAAAAAGAATGTATTTCATGGTAAAGATTAACTAATTACGTGTCCAGATAATGTAAGAATTTATTTTGTTTTAACAGTCGATTATTCATGTAATAAATTAGTTTGAATTTTGGATAAAAATTATAAGCCACTATTAAACAGAATAAATTCTTACACCAAATAAGTTTCAAATGACAAATTGAGCCTCCAAAAGCAGATGTCTATTTCTACTGAAGATCATAACAGAGTGTGAACTCGAAAACAATAGGGGGTCTAGAGAGTCACCGCTTCTGTTAGCATGGACAACGTTATTTTTTAAAGGCGATGACGTACATTCCTTCACGAAAATGACATGCATGAAGAAGATACCATTGTCTTTAAACGTGTCTGATACGACGGTAAGTAGCGGTTCATAAAAGATCGATCATAGGCCGAACTTAATCGTAGTTAGGCATGACCGGCCCAGGTCTGAGGGAGCTCGGCGAGGGCATCCTTCGTGGTATTTTTGGAGTAGATGGGAGCTAGGCGTAGTTCGATCAGATAGGCTAGTTCAACCAGCTAGGCGGAGATTAGCTCGGTATGAGCTAGATGGAATACTAAGAGTGATGAGATAGGCGGGTGTGATCGCCTAGGCAGTTAGGCACCTCGGCACCTAGGCACCTCGGCCAGAGGGTTCTGCCGAGGGGACCAGAGCCTGGAGGTGGCGTCGTAGCCAAGTCACAAGGAAGTTTATAGTGATAAGGACTCTGAAGTTCTGGATATATCTGACCTCACCTATCCAATTTAGAGATAAACACGAGGAAGACTTCTAGACCGACAAGAAGACTTCGGCTTGTACATGATCTCACATATAAAAGGACACAGGTTCATTCATTTTACACAACACACATACATTCATTATCTCGTTACTCTGTCATTTTTTCTCCGAAATACCACCACTGACTTGAGCGTTGGAGTGTCCGTGCTGAGACTACCACCGGTGTGTTTTGCAGGTACCAACGATCAAGGAGGCTCAACCAGGATTGAGAAGAGCGGTCGAGCGATTCGAGAAATTGTGGTACAACAATGTCGACATGTTTGAAGTTATTTGTTTCTCATAAGGAAGGATGTGAAAAATCCGTTCCTGCTATGGGAAATTAACCAGTTTATGCTGGTCCACGTGATTTCATGACCTATATTTTTAATTTTTTTCCAATATTTTATGTATAATTAATTATTATGATATAAAAGTTTTAAGTTTTATTCCCGTCTTTTTATTTATTGAAATGACGTTTTCAATTTAGTATAGTCATAGAATAAGAAATTTTAAAAAATAATATTATGAAAAATAACTATCCCAATATTATTTTTATTCGCAGTTATTTTCGCAAAATATAGAATTCCCAAAAATATATTTTTCTAAAAAAATTATGCTTCGATTCATTTGCGATTGTTATGAAATTATCATTTGCCTAAGAGTCGCATGTTCATAATTAGAATAATTATTTAAAATAAACTGGTTTGCGACTAACTAGGGTTGGACTCGCGATTGACCGAATTGTTCACCAAATCTACGCATATTCATCGTCGAACTGTTGTATAGTTTATCGCATAAAACTTTCACACTTATTCATATTCTTCGCCTAGATGTCGTATAGTTTCAAATCAACGTCTAACTGTCACATAATTTATCGCATAATGTATTTTTACATTGTGGGTGAAAAACTTAATATATATTTATAGTGGGGTGAAAAAGATTATATTATTATTTTTATTATATTGTGGAAATCAAACCACTCTCTATCGTCTCTCTATTATTAGTACTCTTAGAGACATTTTAAGACTATTTAAAATGAAGGGTAAATTGCAATTTTGATACCCAAACTAAAGTTCATTTCGGAATTAGTACCCGTTTTTTAACATTTGTAAAATCAGTACCCAAACTTTTGTTCTGTTAGCAACGTTAGTACCCGGCCGTTAGATCTCCATTAAATTTCCGTTAGTTGTTAACGAAAGTAGGCAAAATGGAGGAAATTTTTATGTTTTTTTGGCTCATGATGAAATCTATATACATAAGACATTTGTACCATTTTTTTTTTTCAAAAAAAAGGCAGCCTCCACTATTTATAAGAAACAAATCGATTTTTTTGGAAAAAATATAATAAATCGAGAAAAATGAAAAGACATGGTTTCTCTTCTAATTCATGTAGTATATATTGGAATAATAATTTTCCAATAACAAAAATATAAATTTCCTTCTATTTTGCCTACTTCCGTTAACAACTAACGGAAATTTAACGGAGATCTAACGGTCAGGTACTAACGTTGCTAACAGAATAAAAGTTAGGGTACTGATTTTGCAAGTGTTAAAAAACGGGTACTAATTCCGAAATGAACTTTAGTTTGGGTATGGAAAATGCAATTTACCCTAAAATGAATGACTTTTGTGGACCTTATGCAATTTATAATGACTTTTGTGAATTTTGTGAGATTGTTATAGAGACTTTTTATGACTTTCAATGTAAATTTTTGGAGACTTTCTAAGATTTTTATACAAATTTTAATATAATACTAATAAATAAATTTGTATTAATTGCTCATATAAAATTATGTGCATAATAACGAATATGAATAAAGCTAAATTAGTAACTATAAAGGCAACCTTATTTACTTTATTTTAGATTTTCCCACATATTCTTCACAAGAAAATAACACAACACAAGTCAAGTTAGTAATTATAAAGGCAATATTTTCTTTATTTTTTCAATTTTTCCACATATCATTCACTAGCAAATATTTTCCCCTTGCTTGCTTCCAAATAAACACTTGAATAACCGGTAACTTTTAAAAGACTTTTGGAAAGTTTTTAATTGAATACATGTAAACTTTGTGATAGTCTCAAAAAATTTCAATTGAATACCCTTAAATTTTAAAACCCTAAAAAGTCTCTAAAAGTCCTAATTGAATACACAAAAAACTTCATTCTTCTCATAGTATAAAAAAAAAAAAAAAAAAATCAAAATTTAGTAATGTACTTTGCCAAAAGTAAAAGATTCCAAAGCATATATCCGCTATCGAAGAATACTCTTACGGCCAGTCTTAGTCTCACCCACATCATTTCCATTACTATTTATACTCTTGAAAACCAATCACTCCAGCATCTCCATTCTCTATCACTCACAAATTAAATGGAAGGAAATATGAACATCTTCTTCTTCCTCCTCCTCCTCCTCCTCTTCGCCTTTACCGTCTCCGTCTCATTTTCATCAGATCCCCTCCATTACCAAACCTTCTTCATCAAACCACTCCCCAAATTACCCAAATTCGAAACTCTATCATGGGACACCAAACAACTCTCCGAATCCCTATCCGAATCCAACACCACACTCATCATCCTCCCCCTGCACAACATCGACCACCTCTCCCTTGCCTCCAACTACACACGGGAGTCCCTCATCTTGAAACGCCTTCATCGAGATGTCGTCCGTGCCCGAGCCATGGCCTGCGGGAAACCCCGACAGTTTAGCAGCCCCGTAACCTCCGGCTTACCCCTGGACGATGGCGGTTACGTTACCCGCCTCGGGGTCGGCACCCCGGCCACAAACTTCTACATGTCCATCGACACCGGTAGCGACCTCAGCTGGCTCCAGTGCCTCCCCTGTGACGGCTGCTACCACCAGCACGACCCCTTCTTCGACCCGAGTAAATCCAAATCCTTCGCAAGTGTCAACTGTAAGTCCACCCTCTGCAAACTCGCCAACCTATGCGTCAAAGGCCACAACAAGTGCTCCTACGAGCAAGAGTACGGAGACGGATCCACCACCGAAGGTGACTTGTCTACCGAGACGTTCACCTTTGGGGAGACCAAAGTGAAGCAAATCGCCTTCGGCTGCAGCCATAACAGCAAGGGCATGTTTGGCGAGGTCGCCGGTATACTGGGCCTCGGCCAGGGGGTATTGTCCTTCACGACCCAGGCGGACATACACGTGTTCTCCTACTGCCTTGTGGATTGGGAGTCCAAATCGGCGTCGTCGTATTTGATGTTTGGAAACTCGACGGTCTTCAGGAAAACGGTTTTCACGCCGCTGCTGACCAGTTCCGATCCTAATCTCGACACCTTTTACTTGGTCGAGTTGCAAGGGATCTCCGTCAATGGGACCAGGGTGGCGGGTATCAATCAGACGCTCTTCAAGTCCGGCGTGGTTGTGGACTCGGGCACGACCGTGACCCTGTTGCCCCAGCCCGCCTATAAGGCGCTGAGGAAAGCATTCAGGGCCGGGACTCGTCACCTGACGCGTGCCAAACAAATGAGCATCCTTGACACGTGTTACAATTTAACGGGGATGACCAAGGTGAATGTGCCAACAGTGGTGCTGCACTTCCGAGGCGCCGACGTGTCCCTGACGGCCTCGAATTGCCTGATTCCAATGGAAGAAACCGTAAGGGGCACCTTCTGTTTTGCGTTTGCGGCCACGCCTGAAGGTCTAGGCTTGTCCGTACTTGGTAATAATCAGCAAAAGGGCTTCCAAGTCATGTTCGACCTGGCCAATAAGAAAATCGGCTTCACACCCAGTAGTTGTTGAGCGCCACACACAACAAAAGATTTCAACTTCCACAGCTTCTGCATACCACTGACTGCGTGTTTTATTTCCAAGAATACAAATAGATTTTAAATTGAATAAATATATTTGGTTTGTGTTGTTTAATCTTTTGGTTTCTCATTTCCTCACACTTTCAGGACTGCAATTAAAAATAATAAAATCATATAGAAATTAAAATCAGGATTGTATTCATGTGGGATTATTATGGCGCATATCCTAGATCAAAGTTATTTTATTTTCATTCACCACACATAAAATCGAACTCAACCTAATTTTCCTACTTTTTATAAATAAAATACTAATAAAGTGTACGTACGATACACGTAAAACATGATTTATATTTTTATGTAATTTTAAACTAATTTTTTCTTATATATTTTTATAGTCTATTCAAATTTTTTACGTTATTATTTTCAATTAATCATACAACAGAAGTGCATTACATAATGAAATATTTCAAATATAATGAGAGTTGGAATACAATTTATAAATAAAATTACTTAAAAGGCATGATAAAAAAATATTGCATCAAAAATTTAATTGAAAAACCTTCATATCTAATTTAATATTATCTGTTCGAAATCCTTTTAGTTTGAGGAAGATTGAAAAATATACACGATTAAACTAAATTAAAATCTTTCGCAAGATTGGCTCTATATGATAGTTTACGATTTTGTATTCCTATCTTGTTGAAGAAGATCATTCTTTGTCTATTGTCGTTATTCTTTTTGACTAAATATAACAATTATAATTAAATTGATATATGTTAGCAAAATATTTTAAATATTTTTCACATAATATTTCCTTTTCAGTGACATAGATTTTATATGCATCATTTCACTTGTTTTAATTAGTTATTGTTATTTTCATTAGTTATAAATACATATTGAAAATATATAAGTTTTGGTAGAATTTTAGTTTGTTACTCATTCATGTACAAATTTATTTTTCATGAATCATTACAAAGATATACTACACATTGTCATTTAATTTCAATAATCTTACAAAATAATTGAAAATGGTTCAATAAACTTTTTAGTAAATTACATTTTGGTTTTCAGTTAAGAAATCAATTAACTTAAATTAAAAGTTCCATAATATGTCTAATGCTCAAAAGATAGAAATTGAATAATTTTTGTAAAATGTCAACCAAGTAAATATGTAGTGAACCACGTGTATAACCTTGAGTTCATAACAACAAAACCTTAAAACCCCTCAAATGCACGATGTAAATGAAACATAACATATAAACTTGGTCAAATTAATCATATATATACAGGGAAATACTCTAATGCCCACGGTTCGCACATGTTAATATGTCTGCCGTTTATATGACATGCACACATTGGTGATGCATTTTTTTTAGTATATTAACCTCACCAATGTGTACATGCCACGTAAGCGGTGGACATATTTACATGTGCCCACCGTGGACATGGGAGCATCTCTCTCTCTCTCTCTCTCTCTCTCTCTCTCTCTCTCTCTCTCTCTATATATATATATATATATATATATATAAATATAGAAGTGCGCTCAAATGAGAAAGGAACACAATGAAAGAAATGAGAATAATTCTGTACCATTGGATACATCATATCAATGGATATGATCAAGTCAAACATTAATAAATAATGGTCAATCATTAATGGCAATATAGTAATTAAGTGTACATAAGGTGGTCAAATATGTATATTTGACCACATAGTAAGGGTAAAACGGGTATTATACACAAAAACAACTAATCCACCACTCATAGTGGGTCCCACCAAATATCCACCATGTGATATATCTATCACCATCCCCACCAATCCCACCTGCTTCCCGTCTGTTTCACTTTCACACATAAAACACACACTCAAAATTCACACACACACACACAGTGAACATATACACACAAACAATGAACACACGACGTACCTCCGCCGGACACCGCCAGTTTCCACAACCACCATCATTGCATCCCCATCTGGCGTTGGAGATCAGTCAGCCGCCAGTGCTCCCACCGGCGTCAGCCGCTACACCGTCTACCACGCCGCCCACATCCACATCTCGCTGCCGCCACAACCCGACTGGTCCCGTCGTCACTGTAGCCACAGTCCGTTTCCCATCGTAGCAATGCCGTAGGCCGTTCATGCCCCCATCAGCGATCTGAACCGACGCCGCCGAAGAAGCGAAGATGATGGTCGTCGGCGTCTCCTTCTGCTCGATCTTCCCCGACCAGAATTTAAGAGTTCTCGTGCACTGGACATCGATCCGAATTTGAGAGTAGGTTGCGGCAGAATTTGGTGTGACCGGCGCACAGTGTCTTGTTTGGGAGTGAGATGAATTCTTCAAAATTGATGAACGGTGCCGCTGACTGGAGATTTGAATTTGGGAGAGATGAAGGTTGTGGGAGAGATTAATGGTTCATGTATTGTGGGTCTTTGTTTGTAAATTTGATAACTTAAAGGGACTTAAGTGTATTTTAGTATATTTTTTTTTTTTGGTACATATATTTTATCATATTTCAATTTAATATGTCAGTCAAATCTGCAATTTAGTAAGAGTTTAATTAATGCACAATAATGTTCAGTACAATACACAATATATTGTGCGTATTTGCACATTAAAAGTTCCAAAAAAAAAAAAAAATAATGACCAAACTTTTTAAAAATGTAATACATTTCATTGAAAAATATATTATGGACTAACATCATACCAAAAAGTGTAGTCGTTTGGCGTCGATATTTTAAAAATACGGTCAACATGTATACAATATTGTCAATAGGTTCGTGTTGATATTTTGGTTTTTTTATACGTTATTTTATACATTTATTTAATAATTTATATTCTTTTTTTGTGATATTCAATTATTGTTAACGTGCAATCAGATAATCATTAATGTGCAATTCGTCTAACATTGTTGTGCACTTTGAATACATTTAAAATATAATAATAATAAATTTATATAGTTAATTTGGTTTGGTTATTTTGTTTATTTGTGAAAAAAAAAATCAACATCGAACTGAAATAATCTATAATTTAAAGTAAAAACAAATAATATAATTGAAATATAAAATATCAAATCAGACAATCTAGTTCGGTCGAACCGGTCCCTTTTGTGCAATATCTTAGTTAATAATGTGCAATTCATCTAACACTATTGTGCACTCGAACCGTAGACACTTCTAATAATTTGTTCCAAACCGAATCAAGTAATAAATATATTTAATCGTTTACCCTCATTGATCAAAACGATTTACTACTTATATTATGAAAATATATTCTAATACTCTAATATTTATATTTAATATTTTATATTATTTTTTAGTTAAAAATACTTTATATATAAAATAACTAAACCAATATTGTGCATTCCAGTGGATTATAATGTGCATCTCATATAAAATTGTTGTGCACTCTATTGATTGTGTATTTTTTATGTGCATTTTTGTTATTTGAAATTTAATAGTTTGTATTTCAAATAACATCATTTTGCACTTATCAATTTATTCATAAAAATAAAAATAAAGTATATTTCATCTTATTTGACTACTATAAATTATTATTTTTTAATGTTTTTATTTATTATATTAATATATATGATAAAAAGTAAAAAAAAAATTATAATTTTTTATAAATTGAATAGCCCATGGACTGAATTGAAGAATAATCAAATTTTGTTAAAATTGCAATAAGATCCTTGAAAATGTCAAATTTTCAAAATCAAAGCCCAAAATCCTTCAAACATAAACAAAATTTGCCCTGCAAATCGAATCTTGCAAACTTAAGATCTTGAAATTGGATCTCTTACACCCTGCAAACATAAACCAAAATTTCCAATCTCACAGTTAAGGGTTGTGTGTGTGTTGGGTCAAGTGTGCTCAGTGAATCGTGGGTTCAAGTGGCACAGTTAAGGGACGTGGCTGTTGGGAAGGAGAAGAAGTCGCCGGCGCATCATCCTTTTCAACCAGTGATGGGCAGAGAGACTGTTGCGACGACTGTTAGCGGGAGGACCGGGCGGTGGCTGTGGGCGTCGCCAAGTGTTGCGCCGGTCGGAGGCGACGAGTGGTGGCTAAGGGCTGTGCGCGGCTGCTCTCTGACAGGACGACGGGTGGCAGGTTGCGGCGGCGCTCCGTGGGAGTGTGCACCCAGTCTGTGTATCCCCGTAAAGTGTGTGTGTGTGTGTGTTTTAGAGAGAGAGAGAGAGAGAGAGAGAGAGAGAGAGAGAGAGACGAGTGGGCTGAACCTGGGAAAGGAAAATGGTTTAGTTGGGGTGGGAAAATGGTTTAATTAGTTTAACTGGGGTGTGGCAACTAAGGACAATTACATATTTAGCCTTTTAGTTATGTGTGTGTTGATTGATTTAATGCGTTAGATTATTTCAATTTTGTGGTTAGGATGCATTCTCATTTCTTTTGTTGAGCAATATTCTCACCGGAGTGCGACCCTATAAATATATATATATATATATGGTTGGGTTCAAGTGAGAATGATTCTCAATGAAAGAAATAAAAATGCATCTTAGCCATCAAATCTAACAATCCAATGGTCAAGATAATTCAATATTTTTTACATTCATTAAGGGTTGTTCTGGTAATTTGTCCGACAAAAAAATGTGCGCCCTTCCTCATCTTGTTCTCCTCCCGATCTTTGTGTTTCCCTTTCTCACACTCACGCAGAGCACCACTGCGGTTTCCTGATCTCGCCGGTGAGTATCTGGTCATTGACGACCGTTCGAATCGACCCGAACTTCTCCGTTGTCTTCCTAGGCGACGCCACAAGACTAGAGCAATTAGATTAACCTGCTCGAGAAGCTCTTCACCTTGAAAATGGTAGATTGAAACCTGCTCGATAAGCTCTCCAGGAGAACGCATCTTCTCGCCGTTCAATTTTCATGCCCTACCGCCGGAAACCATCTCTCGCCATCGCTGCGACATTTCTCCTGTTGTCGAAGCCCAGGAATCCAACCGCAAAACTCTTGTTTGTCACCATGGCACTGC